GGAAACCTCACTCAGCCCAGTCACAAAAATAAAATAAAATAAAAAAATCCCAACAAAACATCAGAATTACTGATTCAAACAGTAAAGCAATCTTGAATAAAGTACCTTGAGGTATTTTTACACMTCTGCAGTAAAGCACCCAGAAGGAATGAAGAGGTTTCAGTGTTAATACACAAGCAGACCAGCAGTGAGCATGGACATAACATTATTGCTTCACATGTGCTATCAGGCAGTTGCTGGATCTCCTTTTATTCAGTTCAAATAGTGAGTGAAAGATCACTTTATACAGAAGATATCTTGTGAACGCACAGGACAGAATAACCAGAAGTTGACAGTCAAACATGAGTCACATTGTGGGTTTCCACATGGATGGGAAGACAACTGATGACCCAATGTTTGAACCAGTGGGCATGTGAGCATATAACAACAAAATATTCAATACTTGAGAAAAAAAAACATTCAGTTACAGTTTCAGACAACAACAGTGTATTTAAATCTGGAAAAATAAATAAATGGATATTTCTGAACGTCTTGAGCTGTTTTCACAAATGACCAGTGGAGATGTTCACTCATGTTGTTTCCAGTCAGCATGTGAACTCTCATCTGCAAATACGAAGGACGGAGTGTGAGGGAGAAGCAAATGCTGTATGATGGAGAAGATGCTTTATTTCCTAAAAAGCCTGTTCAGAAAAGCAGATGAGGTTCTTTGTTTGGCTGATATGAACACAACTCGTTCAGCACACACTCAGTAAATGCTCTGGATGATTTGCTGCAATCTTCCCACATGGTCTCACCTTCTGACCTTGCGGACATTTAAATGAGCAGGATGGAAAATGTCTGCAACTCTGGAGCAATAGTTGCTGATATTTGTTTTCATGTGTAAAACCACTCAGGACTGTGAAAATGAACTCACAAACTGCTGGTGCTGAAGTCATTTAGCAGTTGTACTGTAGCTAATAATAACCCTTCCCACTGATGGTGGCCTGCTCTAAATTCAACTGTCCTGCACCAAAATAGAATAAAACTATTTTTCATATTTTTGATTTTGATTTTTTTAATGTGATAGTGTGAAAACGAGTATGTTTGGATTCTGAATCAAAAGTGGGCAGGTTGGAAAAAGAAGTGTTGCAAAAACAAATAGAAGTGAAACACAGAACTATTTTTTTAAAACAATGTTTTTGTTGTTACTAAAAATATCTTGACARAAGTATTTTTAGAAATCTCTTCATCCACATGGAAACACCAAAAACATTGTAGCGATGACCTACCTGCCTGTGTGTGGAGCTACAACGTTACTGCAAAAAAATACACCAAAAAACAGGAAACAAGGCTGACCTTTGCACAGATATTCACACACATTCTCAGTTTCAGTATTTTGTGATGCTTTGTGGTCTATTTATATTATTGCCTACTTGCAGTTTGTTAAAATACACTTAGTCAAAAGCAGGGGTGTCAAATAAATGTTCACAGAGGGCCACAGGAGCATCATGTTTGTAATTCACTTCAACATTTCATGTTTAACTTAGACTAAACATGAAACACGTTCCTCGTCTCATAGCTACTGCTGAGCACCTCTAACAATAACTGAGCTCTACRTGGTATTTCTGCATAGAATCAGCGTTTAATGCATCCCCTTAGAAACACTACAAATTTGGTCTATGGCCTTGATTTGACATAGGTCAAACCATGTTCATTTGAATGCTTCAGCTAGATCTGCTGTCATTTTAACATCCAGCAGCATTACATGTTGAGGACATTTTGCTAACTCAATCTAACATACAAAAAAAAAAAACTAATTTAAAAGTATGATTATGTATTAAAATCCATCTAAAATCAGGTGTAAAGGGCCAATAGCTAAAAAAAGTGCCTGATTTTACACATGCCCACAAATAACTGTAAAAAGGTCAATTAAACAGATGCATAAAGCTAAACTCTGAGCCATAAATGTAAACACAAACTCCAATTTTCAATTACATTAAGTATGGGGCCATGACATCATTGTTTTCAAAAGGTTACTTTTTGCCTGTCTACCCAGTTGGTGGCATTTACGAACTGTTTCACTTTTGAACCACCAGAAACACWGCTTCAGTGTGGAGGCCCACTTCAGTGGAGTGATAAAACCACGTTGTTCAGACGTGTTCATYTTGAACAGTGTTCAAACTCAAGGACAACAAACTAAATAAACTGCTGAGGTCCTTCTCCCCAAACCATCACTTTTACTAGAGGCTGCAAATAAAGCTTTACTAGAAAAAGCAGTAGAGTCGGTAACATTTTGTGTAGACGGGCTGTTTGAAACAGAGGACATCCTTACAAATAAAACCCAGTCACTTTAAAATCTCAGTTTTTTTTTATTCTCATAGATTAAAGGTTTCAGACTATGTTTCAAGAATCAGTACACAATCACAATTATTACAAAAAAAGAGGAATTGTTTTTTGGATTATTTTTCCCAACATGAGTTACAAAATGTATAAAAATTATAGTCATTAAGATGATCAATAACAAGCATTTAAACTTTTCTGTATAGGCACAGATTAAAACAGATGAAAGCCTGTGCATAAATAAGACAAGATGCACAAATTCAGAGTTATTCCATGAGATAAGGCTTTGGAACAAACTTAATTGGCAGAGCAGACTGAACCAAAGGTAACCCTCTTCTGTTTGTTTTACTTACAAGAGGTGCCAGGGAACAAGTTCACAGATTATGAATAGGCCTGTCACGATAACAAATTTTGCTGGGCGGTTAATTGTCTCGGAAATTATTGCGCTAAACGATAATATTGTCTGGTGACCATTTTATAAAACTAATATAATGATAAAAGCATAATAATGTAAGTACATTCTTTCAAAGATCAACAAACTTTAATTTTTAAAGAATGTTTAGCAAAATGGACTCTCAGTCTAACAAAAAATGCACTTGAATAAAAAAACCAAAGAACAACAAAATGTAAATTAAACACCACACACAACTGAAACAGTAAATAAACAATATTAAAAAGTAGCATCTCTTTAGAGATGAAGCAAACTACACAGCCTGGTGAGGACCCACTGTTTCTTATGAGGACATAAACACAGTTCACATCCTAAGTAAAGTTTAGGGTCAAATAGGTAATTGAAAATACTGGTAAATGAATGAAAGTCAATGCAAAGTCCCCATGAGGATAGAAACGTGTGTGTGTGTGTGTGTATGTGACAACGAGAAGACAAGCAGAGCACTGCGGGGGAGGAAATCAGTTCAGAGTTTTCCTCATGAGTTGTTGGGACAGCCACTGTTTTTTGTGTGTTTTGTTAAAACACAGATGGTGCGTTTAAGTCAGGGCTCTAGACTAACTTTTTGCACTGGTTGCACTGGTGCACGTAACGTTTTTTTTTTAGGCGCACCAGAACAAAAGTCAGGTGCACCCAAATTTTCAATCACGTTACATTTAACATCATCATTTTACAAGTTTTTTWAAAAAATCACTGTTCATTAAAGCAACATTAAACTCGCAAATAATTTGTTAACAATCCAATAAACATAAAGTTCTTTATTTGAACCAGAATTGTAGACTTATAACTTAATGAAAAGTATTTAAATTGGTTCTATAAAATTCCAAGTGCTAATGTTTAAGAGCTGAATATCTTATAAACATTTCAAACATTTCATGGTTAAATTTTTTTTTAGACACCAGCCCCTCAGATGGACAACAATGGATATTTGGCCTTGGATAAACCAGAATGATGAACAGAGAATAATGATTAATAACAGAAATATTACTGATATTTATTAAAAAGTTGTGCAGATTTTTTTWAATAAAAACACATAAAAGTCTGCAATTTCATCATTAGTTGAATCTTATKATCTTATATTATTTCACTTAAATATCTAAAATATCTAGTTTTATCCTCGTGAGACCCAGAATAGCCTATTTCAGATACTTGGAATGTAACTGATTAAGTGCAAAAGTGGACTGCCATACAGGTGAGCTTCCTCGTCCTGCTGAAATGATCTGCAGCGCTCAGACCCGACTGTTAAATTAACAAGATGGACTTAAGTGAGCAATCGTCCACATCTTATTTTCATCTCCAGCTAACAAGAAAAAAGGTTTTTCAGACTCCGATCTGGGTAAAAAAAAAAAAAAAACTACGGTTGTTTCACTATGTGTGTGTGCGCATGTGCGTGTTCATGTTTTTGCTTCATGGTGGGGACAATTACTGACCATTTCCCCGGTACACACAGCCAGGTGAGGTTAGGGTTTGGGTCAGGTGTGTAGCCTACCTGGGAGGTTATGGTTGGCTGTAGAATTGACAGGGAAACGAATGGAARCCAATGCAAAGTCCCCATGAAGATAGAACAAAAATTTGTGTGTGTGTGCGCGAGCGGGAGGTGTGGAGCGGAGCCCGTGAGCAGAGCGCAGTGTTATTAGGAGAGATGGAGACAGTGTCGGCGGGCGACTGTTGACACTGCTGGCTAAATTTTTTTTATGGGACATGGACATTTTTTGTTTCAGCGGGCGACTGCTCCCCCTCGAACGACTRTGTGGTCGCACCAGTGCGACTGGACATTTTTTTAGTCGTACTATTAGGAAATCAGCTCACATTTGCGATTAAATTGGTCGCACTCTAGAGCCCTGTAAGTTTCCTGTTGGTCCGATGCAAACGCCCACATTATGACACATCCCTGGAATTTATTCTATGCGGGAATTTCCTGCATTATAAAAATTAGATTTGCGTGAATCGATCATAATATGCGCAATCCCCGCAGCGAATTTCAGGCCCTGCAAGTGCTCCCACACTGCAGCTGTTGCGTTCTGCTTTGAAACCAATTCCATCTCCATTTCTCAGAATCCCATCAACGTTTCTTTAGTTTGTTATTGCTACGAGCTCTCATGCTAAAGGAGTACRAGACTGCGCGAGAGTTCACTCGTCCCACACTAAGAAAACAGGAGGGGAGGGGTCAGCTGAGCACCGGAGCACAGAGAGGAACAGAGACGAAGTAAACAAACAAGCAGGCAAATGAAAATTATCGTCCTCATTTTTTTATTGACCTCCAAATAATTTATCATACAATTAATTGATTTATTGTTTATCATGACAGGCCTACTTATGACTGCGCTTTTAGAGAATAAAAAAATGCCTTACTTCATAATTCTTTTATAAAAACACCAGACTGTGTAAAGAAAAAGAAAAAGCTGAGTGTTTCTCTAAAAAAATGAAATGAAAATAAATCAAAGAAGAACGTCAACAATAACCCTGAATATTTGTGAATTCAACCCCAATTGATACAAATATATTGAAAACAAATGACTGAAAAGATGAAAATAAACCAGTTTGCAATGTGTTGAACTCTGTGCACGGTTTTAAAACTACAATAAAAATAACGACAATGAAAAAAGAAGGCCTATGAGAGCAAAGGCTTAATGTTACTGAGGTTTGTGTGTTAAGGGTTGATGGTGATGATGTAACTGGTACGGGCGAACAGAGTTTGCAAAATGTTTTCTACTTCTTGATGGCGGACACCACTTTCTTAGCAGCATCATCCAGGTCGTCTGCCGATGTGATCGGCAGGCCGCTCTCCGACAGAATCCTCTTGGCTTCCTGAACGTTGGTCCCTGAAAAAACAAAACAAAACATAATTAAAGCAGGTAAAAAGAAGAAGAAGAAAGCTCCACAGCCATGTTAAAACCAGGCTGTGTGAAGGAGGGAAATGTTCTCCGGAGGAATCAATCCACACAGACAGATGGATGGAGCTACGGGTCACCGGCGGCACGTTCGACTGCTGATCCGAGAGCGGTTCTGACTGCGAACAATGAGCAGAAGGGCAATTTGTGCGTGGTGATGCTTCCTCGGCTACAGTGAGGTCAGAGGGGGTGTGTGGCAGGTGGGGTGACGAACCGGCGACCGCTGAAATGAACACAAACACGAGCCCCCCGGAGAAATTCTGCACACGGCCCYCGAGGCTGCAGAGCCTGAACCTGACCGCCTCCCAACGCCGCGAACTGCTCCGGCTACCGCAAGCCTGACAGTTCTGTCACAACACGGGGCGGGGTGAGGCGGCGGGAGGAGAATGGTGGGGGATGAGTGGTAAAGTGTGAACAACAGAGCGAAAGGTCAGAGGAAGCAGTGATTCCACACTGCTGCTGAAAAAAACAACTACATCCAGCTGTTTGTTTGACATTTACACTTTTCACACGTGAACAACTGAAGTAAAGGATATTTACTCAATTTAAAATGGGGACTTTACATATTTATGTGCATCTCAAACTGTTTTGTTTTGTCATATTTTAAATTCAGATACTTTTGCATAAGCTCTTATATTTTTGCAGGTCCAACTGTATGAATAAAAATAACTGCACAAAGACAATGACCTGTCCAGTTAAGTGTTTTATAAAATCATGAAATAGATTAAACTATATATATTCTAATTGATTTATCTGAACAGTTTCAGTTCCACCTATCTGCTTCAAAACCAAAATTCATCACCTCTAACCAATGACCAGGATTATCATCTTAAAAATACTAAAACAATTATGAATATGATGTTAAGTTATAAAATTATACAGTAAAAGAGAAAATCATAAAACAGACAATTTGAAAATTTTAAGACAGATAAATTTGCTTTTAGTTTCTGGTCTTTATATATAATCTTGATTTTGTTTGAGACTATTTGTAATCCAAGAACAAATATGTAAATCATTATTATTTGTTCAGGTTGTTTAACTCCGGCCTGAGTGCCACGCATTACTAAAATTTAGTCACATACAACAAAACAAAAGCCTAATTGTTCTTTATTTATTTTTTTGGAGTTGTATTTATACTCATTTGAATAAGCTTTTACTTAAAATGCCATTTMAAGTTGTTGTAAATTTAAAAGAGCAAAACTGAATCGTAAATATCATCCAAGGAAAAACTTCCAAAATTTCATTATGTTAAACCGATTCTTTGTTTTTAAATTCTAGTCATCATTTTACACACCTAGTCAAAAATAAATAAATAAATAAAATAAAAACTGACAACCTGTCATGGTTGAACACTTTAAACACCAGATCAGTCTGATACTGGCTGATTCACAGCACTTTAAAATAGTTATTGTTGCTACAACTTCCACTGCATTCACTTTCCTAAAGTCTGAACGTGTTGAAGTTTGTGAGACTCAGTGACCGTGTGTGCAAAGCTCTGACTCTTCTCGGTTGACCTCAGCCCCCCAGGCTGGCGTGTAATTAAAAACTGCACGATACGTGAATTCTCCGAAGGCTCGGCCACCCTGATCAATAGACCTTTCATGAGGAATTCTATTACGAGCGCCACTTAACGCCTAATATTTCATCTCTTTTGTCCAACCGTATAATAAGTCATTCCAAACACATTTTCTGCCGGCTCGCACTCCAAACAATCAATTCGGCGATGTAATTAATTAGAATAGGAGCAGGAAGAGACCCTCGCTCTGCCACGTAAACAGGGGGGGTAGGGTGTCTGTAGTCATTTTCTCATCAAACGGCAGAGGGTGTTCTGGGTGTACTTGTGTCTCAATTGCTGATGCTGTCGCTCACAGTGTTGTTGTTGCTGTACGTTCAGCACTGACCCATGAACTGGACWGAGATTGATGGATCTGTGCGTGCACGCTGACAGGCTTATCTGTCAGCTGATTAAAACAACAAACTTATAAACAAGAAAAAAAAAACTTGCCTTGTAGAGTCGCAGCAAATACATAACAGATTTTCCAAAAAAGACAAATCTGCCTGTGGAAAGTGCACACAGGAGCGAAAGAGAAAACAAATGCAATTTTTTCTTTTTTTGACGTATTTTCTTTTCATAAATATTCACGAGCAGCAGCGGAGCGTGCTGCGCTGTGGAGATGATGCATCTGTGGTACCGGTGTTTTTCATGCAAAGTGTGGAGGGAGGGAATGACTCGGCTGTGGCAGCGAGAAGGAAGAAAGTCGTGCATTTTCTGCCTGCTTCTTCTTGCACGTGTGCGCTTGGCGGATGATTGCAGTTCCTCTGCGAGCGGTAGGGAGCACTGATGGCTCACAGCAGCAGCGGCCACGACAACTGAGCCTGGCTGGATGAGTGTGTGCGTGTGTGTGGAGCGGGTCGTATGTGTGTGTGTGTGTGTGTGTGTGTGTGT